CCCCAAAACCCCAAAACCCCAAAACCCCATTCCTCTTCCTCCAAATTGAATCTCCATCTCAACAGCCATTTTTCAAATCCCCGTACAAATTGTCCAAAACCTCACAAATTCACGACTAAAATCTAGCCATGGGCTTATGCAGCCGATGAGTTTGACCCTGGAGCTCTACTAGGAAGGAATATTTATCTATCATAATAAAAGCTTCTTCATTTTATCCCTGCATCTCAACTAATAATCATGAAATGTCCTCAATAGATTGACATTTTCAATATTCGAATTGCTCATGAACGAGATGATCTCAGCTTAGAGAAATGATTCATTTTGAATGAAATAGATCCAGCTATACAAGATAGGAATCTCGCCAAAATAAATGCATCAAATACTGTCTTATGATAGCCTATCTAGATAAACAACTGACAGATCGAGAAGATGGATACTTGGCCAGTGGCATCTCTATAGAAATCAGCTAGATTCTCTGAGTAACAAAAATTTCTTACTTCAGGGGGCCTACACAGGCTAAACTAGGTGAAAGCTCAGAATAAAAGAGTCAAATTTTGATAAAATTATCATCGATTTTCAGATAAAATTCTGATAGGTATAATACATGTTTAATTGATGGATTTTACAAAGGGAATTAGCTTAAAGATTAGGGTTCTGTCTGGGCAAAGTGTTTTCCTCTCAAGTATTATGGAACTTGGATGAAGAAAAAGACACTCCAGTATGTCTCTTCATCATATTCCCTTGTTTCTCCTTACTCCATCTTCATCTCCTTATTCTCAGTAGTCTCTTCCTGCATACCCTCTCCAACTAAGTTAACTTCACTCACATGTCTCTCAACCTTTTCTAATACCTTCGGGTCCTAAATTATGAGAGAGTAAGAAACAAAGTGTCAAAGGAGGGTCAGAATGGAGATACTTACAGGGATTAGGGATTCTGCAGGACTTTTGAATTCAGGAAGAGAACGTGATGAGTTTAAAGTGGTAGTGGGAGTGTCACTTGGGGTTTGGTCCTTTTGTTTTACGAGGGTTTCGAGCTTTTTCTTGTGGAAGTCAACTTGTTTTTCTCTTATTTTCCAATATCCTTGTTCAAGATCATATAGTTCTTCAAAGGGTTCTACATTATTTAAATCAGTTTTAATACTATCTGTAAGCATAGTGACTCCCTTCTGAATATGTTTATGAAGAAGATTGTTGGCAAATTCGCTGTAAAGATCTGATTCTTTCAATTTTATAAAGAATCTAGAGAAGTTAAATAGATCACAAATGATCAACCATAATATTATAAAACTGTAACTTACCATTTTAGATGTTCTTGAATATCATCATATTTAAGAAAATCATCCATTCTCATTGCCTGCACTGTTTCATATCTCAAGTGATCCCATTCTTCCTCAAATTTCTCTAATCGTTCAGCAAAGTCCCTAACTCATTCCATATTATTTTTCTCCTTATGATAATTGAAAATAATAAACGCGGACTTTATATTCTTCACTTGTCTGCTCAGCTCCTCCGTATGTAATATAGGCAAGACCCTCTTTCCATTCTCACTTTCCTTGGCTGGCCTCTCACAGTCAAAGTGCTATATCAATAATCTCCATCAAAACAACTATTTACTTACAAGGTTCTCATAGCAGCTGGAGCAGATGACCATTTCGTGATTTTCACAAAAGTATTCTCTTAAGTTAAAGCAATCGATTGTTTTGCAGTTCATTCTAGAAGGTGAAGAGAAAGAATACCTTAATTTTAATTGGGGGAAGAGCAATATTTTAGGAATTATGTTTAGTATAAATAAAATACAATTGTGAGATTAGTTACGGGGTTTTGGGGTTTTGGGGTTTTGGGGTTTTGGGGTTTTGGGG